AAAAGTCTTATATAAGCCTTATTTTCCACCATAATTTGCAAAAACATTCTTTCCAAATTAGACAATGTGATTGTTTGGATTTGTTTTCTCATTTTGTCTCTCATAGTTGAAGTCTACCTATGATGTCAATTACAGGCCTCTCATCTTTTTAAGTGGGAGAACTTGCACAATTGGTGGCTGACTAAATACTTTTTTGCCCCCTGTATGTGCTGCTTCGATTCATCTCTGATGATGTAGAGCTCAGATAATACCAAGAAGGACATGATCGCCTTTTCCTAAATAATTTCCCAACTGCTTATTTGTTGGGCTTTTGTAACACACAACAATATATGGAAGTTCTCATTTCAGCCTCCTACATATGATAAACATTCCCACTATTTCTCTGCTTAATAACCAAAGTCTCCTATCTGATTATCAGTCTTTTTAAAAAGGATAATTTTGCTAGACACTGTACTTGAAGAAGATCTTGTCCACTATCTGAACCCTACATTATAAGAGAGAAGGAGAACCAAAATTCAGAAGCCAGAGAAGTTTGGCAGGAGTGTCCTTAGTCAGATATCAAAACTACACGTGGCACAATTCACACTCTGTCTGGCTACACACTTATTAAATAAACCATAGCTTAGTGCAAAATCAAAAACGAACAAACTCCATTCTGGTCTAGTGTGACACATATTCTGATATATCCCAAGACTGATTTCTTGCTCAATATTAATAGCTTCTTTTATACACAGGTGGTCCTTAATGAGCAACGGTGATTGGGAACTCTTAGCAAGTTGTAAAGCGCAACTCCACATGATCACCATTTGTGACCTTCTGTGACTTTCCCGTTGACTTTTGCTTGTTGGAAGCCAGGAAAATGATCATGGGACCATGAGATGCTGCAGTCATAGCAATTATAAGCTGGTTGCCAAATTCCTGAATGTCAATCAGATGACTTGCAGGTGACAGATTGCGACAGGTGCAAAGGCATTGAGTAGTCAACCTTATTTTACATAGTTTTCTCTAACTAGGCCATACAAAACCTTTGCCAGACCTATACTTGAATCAGTGGTGGGTTCCGGATCCTGTCGCAAGCGGTGCCCTGCAACGGAGCCAGACGTCCACATCAGGCAGGCGCACTGTGCATGCATGCAAATGTCACCACCCAGCAATGCCCCAGCTGCTCAGCAAGGCTGTGCGGGCGCCGTACGCTGTGAGCGTGGGCGCAATTGGCCCGTTTCCCTCAAAAACAGGTAAGGAACATGGGCGGGTGGGTGGGCCCATCAAAACACTGTTCTGGTACGGTCACTGCAGCTCCCAGCTGCCACTGGTACGCCTGTACCAGGCTGTACCACACGGAACCCACCACTGACTTGAATACGGCTCACCTGCCTGGAACCCACACTGCATTTCAGACATCAAAACATTAGAGAGGGT